TGGAAGAACGTCTCAACAGCTTGGATAAGACCTTCGAGCTGGGTGAGAACTGAAACCTCGGCATCTACACAAGCGGGGGAGAGCGACATCACAATCCACCTGGCAATATGATGAGCAACTGGGTGCTTCCGCCCATCTCTATCGAGCATGATACCCAGACCAGACGAGATATCCACCAGGGCACTATAAGGGGAAGTGGATTGCCCGACTGGGATTTCCAACAACCTCAGTATCGCGGTGAAAATGAGAGCAGACTGTTCTTTTGTGAATATACCATGCTCGGAGAATGGAATGTGAGCAGCCGGCAGAGAATCTCGGGCCAATCGGGAAAGATAATCCAGATATGTTGTATCAAATGTTTTTGAACGACCGACCAATGACCACAGATGGAAATGTGTAGGCAAATGGCTCTGCGGTAGGAGATCGACTCGCGAGTCGGGAGCCGGGGATGTCGGAAGCAGCAAATTAATGAGCCCGGCGACAACGAAGGCACCTTCTGAAAATGATGTGGTATAATGAGGCAAGAACTCTTCGAGCATAGCGGGAAGTTCACACGGGTCAATGAATAATTGAGCGAATGCGCAAAGCTTGGTCAAGGTCTTGACATTCCGCTTCAGATTGGTCGAGTGAACAAGGCCGGACTCGGTGGGGAGGACGAAAGCCTTGAGCTCCTTGTATAGAGGCTTCCAATCTAACACGAGATCTTTAACTGGTTTGAGATAATGTTTGCGCCTAAATTCTGGGTTAGCAACCGCACTATCCCCGCAGCAACGCTGATAATCCAACTTACTTGGTGAGAAGCATGAACATGCTCGAAAATCGCTCGGCGACCGACGGGTCAATCCCAGGAGCAAGTGCAAGCTCAAAATACAATTTCACAAGGCTGATGCGCTGCGCCCGAGTCGGATCGAACTTGAGCGACAGCCATCCGCGTAGCTCACGTGTCCAGTGCACGGCTCCGGGATTGAAGTCGCCGGCCTCCACTGCAATATAGAGCTGGTTCAAAATCTCTCGCAGATTTTGATCTCGCTCAGTCTCATCCTCGAGCTGGTATGGGAGATATTTGAAGTATGGATAGGTACGGGGCCGCACGCGGGCTATCGGTTCGCCTTCGCTATTCACAGCGACGGGCTCACCACCGGGCGAGGTCGCCCGGGAGAGCTCTTGTGCATGATGGAAATTGTCGGATGTGAGAATCGCCTTGGGACCGGAGGCTTCCATCATCAGATGAGGGATAGGGAAGGGAATGGTCGACCCGAGGTGGAGATGTAGTGAGGGAGTAGCCGTTGTCGGGTGAGCTCTGGCAGCAACAATACGTCAGCAACGCCGATGTTTCACGGGGGGGATCTCTTTTTTCCACGCAGTATCAATCACAGAACAAGTTTCGAAGGAAATCGTACTTTTAATGAAACTCTGAAGTTCCTACTCCGAAAAGCGCGGAATTTGGAACCGGAGATTGTATTTCACACGGCTGCGTTCGCATGAGGTACTCTTTTTTTTTTTCCTCGGCAAGCGAGAGGGAATATGACGAGCTCGTATTCGTTTGGGTAATTGAACAATTCAGGATTTCAGCCTCCGTTTATTCGTTTCTTCTTGAAATGCCTAGATGTTGAAGGTCAAGATGTCAAAGGGGAGATGGGCGAGAGTTATGATGACATAATTATATCGTAACGAACTTTGTGAGCTTGGACCTTGCAGAGCGACCCGGAAAGATGCAGACCAGAAAAGATATACAATATATAGTAGTAGTTGTCTGAGAAAGAATTGTGATGGTTTCTTTCAAATCTCTTCTTTTTTCCAATTTATAATAGTTCAGTTAAGTGGGCGACTGCGCCTTTCCAACATTTACCCCAACTTAGGCAGACAGTCACCTTACGCAAGCATATCGCCCAACCCAATTCGGGATGGCCGCATTTTTGGCCATTCACGGCAGTCTAGGCCATGTCTTTTACCTAGGTAACTTAAATCACATATCAAAATACAAAGCAGGTGACTCGGTCCAATATCGAGCCGGGTCATCGCTATTTGTCATTCTCTTTCATGCTGGAGGTAGGAAAGAACCGAAAAGAACACCCTGGATCAACGCATAGCCCACCATACTATACACAGCGACCACAAGGGTCCGGCTTTGCTTGGGTGAGCTTGAACTGAGATCTACAGCACTGGTAACCAAATACCAGTACCACAAGGGATACCCTGATGAGATGCGGTTGATGATCTGGACATGGTAGCTGGTGAATGCCATGACAGCCAGCAAACCCTGGGGAACTGCCAGCCGAACGAGCATTGACCCCGGGCTCGTTGAAGAAGAAGAGGGACTTTGTAATGCCCACAAGGAGGATCGGCATAGAAGGGCCAACATGGGTCCCGCCAACAGGAAAAGAGGTATATTGGGGACAGTCCAATATTTTAAGAATCCGACATCCCTATTACAGTCAGTAAGAGTGAGGACAGCGGCATTCAGAGACGAATCGCTGCTTACCAGTAATGATTTTGAACCCAGCCGTAGATGCTCGGCAAAGTCCACTCACACCATGGCCGAAGATCATTCTCGGACACGCAGTACATGCGATAGGCCAAGATTTGAGGGATGACCATCCCAGATCCTACAATACAGCCACCAACGATAATAACGGCAAGGCGAACGATGGTGTGCAGTGTAGGGCCTTTGGTCAGGATCTTCCAAGCCAAAACCACTGCATCATAGACAAATAGGAACCCGCTGAGAACCCCATTGCTGCGGACCATGGTGGCAGCCGCGAACAAAACTGCAGATGTGAGCACTCGAATATCGCGCAGACGCGTTGCCCCATTACGCTCGGCAATGAGAGATGATGAGTAGAGGTAAAAGCCAGTCATGTTGAAAACAGAGACTATCGATTCCCCATAGGGTGCGGACATAAACGCGCCCGCTGGGGAGATGATGTGAAGAGCCGCAGATAGGAAGCAAATGAGGTGTTGGGTGGCAGTCGCATGACCAAAGATATTGGCCGACAGACGATAGAGCGCCAATACGGACAAATAATGGGCAACGTGGGAGAGAACCACTCCTACCATTGCAGTGCTCGCGGGTCCAGCATCTCCGCCAGAGAGACGAATACCTATTCATAATATTAGTATGTCCAAAAAACGAGATGCCCAAGATGGGTAGAAGGAATTATGTACCAGCAACAAAGATAGATAGAAGCTTAGTATAGCCCCAGCCAAAGGCCCATTCTTGCTCAAACAGATATCCCTTTTCGGCAATATCAACGTAGTAGATACTGTCCCATCTGGCAAATTTGAGGGGTCCTGAGAGAGACTCGGAGTGGGCAACCGTTGATGGATCGGCAAGATATGAGATTAAGGAGGTGGATGTATCATAGCCTGATCCTGGACAAGCGACAACGACGATGTACAACAAGACTTTCCATGACCAAAAGGCTAGTGTCAAACTTCGAATTGGGTTGTCCAATCGTAGTAATTTGGCAAACAATGGCGGTGGCCTTGTAGTAGGTTGGACTGAAGCCATGAAAGGTTTCCAGTGACTTTCGCCACTAAGGGTGATTTGAATGAAACCTCGGGAGCTCGGGAGTTTCCGCAATCAGGACTAATAGGATCGGGTTCACGGAGTCTAGATATCGGGATATTTACCTTGTGATTGTCCCGATTTGCGGTCCGGTCTGCCGAGGTAGCCTGTAACTTTTTTTTCCAAGGAGGTGAGAGTTAAAAGGCTTGGCATAAGTGTGCAAATGTGCATAATTAGTCATTCGGGTCCACGGCCGTTCGGACTTTGGAGACTTCGGTTTTTGATCCACGTACAACATACGGAGTAACTAGGTACGATCATGATCACCTATGTATGTCTGATGGGTGTACTTTAAGTGGCGACTCTGATTCGACTCTGATTCGTGAAACACAACACCGGATTCTGGAAATCAACCTTAGAACTTCACCTTATACCACCCTGCAATACTCTGCATATCTGCACATTGGTCAAGTGAGCTTTTTTGAAATGACCATAGGTGGTTCATCAAACTCTCTTCGGCGCATCAATTTGTCCGATTCCAAAGGTTAAACCTGATTAAATGAACATACAAAATCCCTCAAATTATCCAAGAGAAAAATTCAGTTTTTGAACGTAACAGTTCCACCATACCAAGAATATATGGATACTCTCACACTCTCACACTTATATATGAGCCATATTATGGGCTCATAAGGTAACAAATCTCAGGCAAATCTGCCCATATTCCCACTAAGATGGGGCTTGCCAAGAAGACAGCGCTAAAACCCTGGTTACGAGATCTCAGTCAGACCAAAAGGACGATAAATGATCGTCACGGAATCCGGATGTGTCGGAGGCCGTACATCACCGAGCCCGCTGACAAGCATAAGCCGAACATCCAAGGATTTGTGCATTGAAAGATACATGAGTATCCATGTACTCATAGTACTCATGTAATAAAAAATATATATTACACCCAATTAAATCCAAATAACACAATTAAAATACACAATGTGGGTCTATTGTGCAACTCCTACTATGTAAATTGGTTTCACTCCTACCTTTTTTGATTACATATTACTCATTTTTGATTACTCTAACTCGTTACAACTTATTAAATTTTTTATTTTTTATTTTTATTTTACCTTTTTTTTCAATTATATAGCTCTATAAGGCTGACCGCCCCATTCATATTAAGGAAATCCTTTATCCCAAGGTTGTTCCTGCAATCAAACATACCTTCCACTCTTTAAACCTTTCATCCCCCTTGCATCTTATTTTTCTTACACATCTTGCAAGTCTTTACAATCTTGACTTGCATTTCTATCCATTTGGCTTTTGCAATCGTGATTAGGTCTTCCCCACATATAGCTCCGGAGCTGAACGTCCCCCCCGCAGCTGACGCGTTTGAATACGGGCTTGTTCATGACTATTACAACCTACATTGGGTCTGGGTGAAATTCCACAAAGATTTTGCTCTTTAACACCAATGTGGCTCCGCTAGGGCTCAAGAATGCTGTTGAATCTTGGCCTTACAGCGGATGCCGCAGCAGCCCATGTACCAGAACCCCGACCTTCTGCCTGTCCTGTCTACTCGCCTACCTGCTTACTGTCTGCTCTACCATTGTTGAACTCCTTCTACAGTCCTCCCAGACTCCCTGATGGTTCTACTGATTGTCCGGGGCTTGTATCCGCTATGGTCATGAGTCCGATTGAGTCAGCCTCGGACTCGGGTGAACCCTCCACAGAATCAGCTGTTGTCGCCAGGCCCCAAGTCACCCGTTCAGGCACAGGTCGGAAATCTCGACCCAAAACATCATATCAGTTCGCCCATCCCGCTGCTCATGCTCGCCACAAGCGGTTGAGAATTCGTCCTAAGCTCCTCCTACAGCTACAACAGGTGTCGCAAACCCCTCGGCCACTACCGGTAGTAGATATTCTACCATCGACATCTTACCTACCACTATTGGCCCGCAAGTTTCCGGCCATATATCGGACCAGAAATGGATTGGGCCCGTATGACCTAATTGTGGTGCTGAGTGAACAATACGACCGGACTGTGGGCAGCATTCCTGAGAAACACGTCAGCTCGGAGGATGAGGACGAAGATCATCGGGAGGTGGTTGCCACGATCTGTCAAAAGTATCAAGAAGATGCTCGACTGAAAGGCAAGGCGGAGATATGCCTGAACTTCGGGCCTGTCTGGGAGGCTTCACCTCTTCCAAGTGGGTCTTACGAGTTCGTCGCTCAGACAGATAGCGGCTTGCAAATCATGCGGTGGGCTTTGCGTGGGGGGAGGAGTCGTCGGATGACTACGCCCACAGCGCAATTACGTGAGGACAGCAAACGCTTCACTTTCAGCGTCATCGATCCTACCACTCGCCGACATCCCGTTCTCGCCTCCATGACTCGAAATCAGTTAGAAATCAATGATGAATATTCCACGGCTGTTCGGTCCGGCACCGGTCCCACGACTCCAACTTCAGGAATGTCGGTCGTGAGTGATGCCTCGGATGCAGAGACTCCCCTCGATGGAGGCTTCGTCACACTTGATGATGGTCTGCGAACTTTGATTGTCATTACCGGCATCTGGGTCGCCTTCCGTGAGGGGTGGTCAGACAACTTCCGCTACGGCGACCTAGTGTCTCCATCGAGTGCAAAGTCGATTATGTCTCCAACATCAGTGAAACATTTATCTCCGACGACCGCCAAAAATGAAACCGACTCTTTCCCAAACAACGATGAAGATGGCAAACGCTGCATGTCGGTTTCCAGTATTCGCCGCTCAACCGCCCCATCCACCGTGGATCGAACGCAATTCGATAGTTTGTCCAAGCGCTCCAACTCCACCGGTGCTGCATTCATGGATCGAGCGAAACGACGATCCGCTTCTGGGCTCGGCACTCGCCTGAACCGACATAGCATGTTCACTGCCTTGGGCGAAAACGGCCGCGATATCGTTGTCTCCCGTCCTCCTTCTCCTCGCCAACCTTCTGCTGAGCTGGAGGACTCATCTCGAGCCAGTCAGCCTAAACCAAAATCTCCTACAAAGGCCCAGCCGGAAAGAGAAAACACCAAACCAAATGCGGGCCCAAATGGGCATCCTCCTACCTCAAATTCCGGTATAACACAGCATAACAGCACCCGCAAGAAGAAGCCCGATTTTCTCCCCCCCCGAAGCTGTCGACTCAACTTCTAGCAAGGGAAAAGTTCGCCGCCGACTCAGTACTCTCTTTGGAATTTTTCACCGAAAACACGATACTCATTGACCTTTCAATTCCTCATCGCCATGTATACCCCTGCATCATGTTTGTGGCTAGTCCACATGTAGGCATCACAGCACCACGTTCGAGTCTCATTGCATCTGGCATCAATTGGGCGTTCATACGTTGCAGCGCAATTCGTCCGGTACGAATCCTTGCCGATTTTCTTTTTCTTCTACTCTCCTCTCTCTCTCATTCCAATTAGCATCTTGCATCATTTGCATTTGCGCGTCCTTCTGGTCTTTTCTTTTCATACCTACTTCTCACTATGTCTTCATCTTCATCTCCTGGGGGCGCAAACTCAAAATGTGTATGCTTGTATCTCACTCGTGTACATTGCTATACATCTATCCATCACGCTACATATGAATAAATACCCCATCATACATAGTAAATTCCACAAGCTTTTTCAATTATACATCTCTTCCAAGTACTCCGTATAGATTCAGAATAGTTATCTCACTAATTTCACCAATAAAGCAATATAGATCATGCATGTTCAACTCAACTAATGAATTGAGCCACTCACAGCTTCAAACTACAACAATCCCCAACATCACCTCACATATTATATAGCAGGCTATGTCAACTAGTTGCAAGCCGCCTTGTCCTCTGACTGAACGAGACCGGATACCTCGGAGGAGAGTCCATCCACTCCGTATTTGGAGTCTGCCTTGACATAAGCGCTAGGAGATATTAGGAAGGGATCATCCTGTGCAGGGCGCTAATGCACACCCTTGTGTGCGCCTTCGATCGAATTAGCGTTCGCCAAGATAATAGCTTGCGAGATAATCGCCCTGTCGAATGTAATAAAGACCAGTCATGCATTTGCCAAGGTGTTGTTTGGCGGGGTTATGGGCTGTGTACCTCGTACTCTGTGGAGGGTGGTGTATCGGGTGGGTGATGCCCCGTAGAAATGACAATGCTTAAAAGGGAGAATAGAGAATACCTCCAAAATAAGCAAAGTACATTCCTATAATAGAGAAGATCGTCGGTGCACGGAGGGATGGAGTACATATCATCTGTCCTTGCAAAGGAAATAGGAAATGTAGGTGCATAACTAGTGCCTCGTGAAACTGCTGTATGCCTAGGTACTAATCACCATCGAGAGCTCAGGGCTGTCATTGTAAAATAACGAGTCCAAGCCTCCTATATAGCGGAAAAGACAGAATTCAACATCAAGTTTTACAGCCCTCATAAAGCTTCGTAAGCTTCGTACATACTAGGTACCCCTCTAAAACCCTTACCGCTCAAGAGCAGTAACAGCCTTAGGAATATACGGCTCCTCGAGATACTTAATCTCTTCAGGAGACAGCTGAACCTTAATAGCAGCAACAGCCTCATCAATCCGCTTCACACTGTGAAGACCAAGAATAGGGTTCTCGCCAGGGTGAGTCAAAGACCAAGCGATAGCAATCTGAGCCATGCTCACGCCCTTCTTATTGGCGATTTCCTCAACCCGGTCGATGATAGCCTTATCAGCCTCAGACTCGCGACTACGGACAAACATCTTCAGCGCGCCGTCGGTACTCTCACGCACTGTCTCGCGCGAGCCCCAGGGCCGCGCCAGCGCCGCGGGCAATCGGTGACCACGGGATAATGCCGACTCCGGCGTCTTGGCAGTAGGGGATCATCTCGCGCTCTTCTTCGCGGAAGAGGAGGTTGTGGAAGTTTTGCATGCAGATGAATTTGTGGCAGCCGTTGCGGTCGGCGATGTTTTGGAGGGATTGGAATTCCCAGGCGGCCATCTGGTTGTGGGGTTAGTGAGAAATGAAAGACGAAATACATAGGTAGAAGTGGAAGACAGAGAAAGACAGGATAAACATACCGAGCTAGCACCAATGTACCGAACCTTCCCGCTCTCGATGACGTCGTTCAACGCCTTCATGATCTCCTCGCGGGGAGTATCCCGGTCCAGGCGGTGGATCTGCAGTACATCGATGTATGTGCCCAGACGTTCCACGCTGGCATCGACAGCATCGAAGATGTGCTTGCGCGACAAGCCAGTGCGGTTGACGAAGGGGCCGTCGTTTGTGGCGGATGCGGCGATGGGTGGGAATTTGCCCTCGTCGTCGACGCCGAAGAAACACTTGGTTAGGATGACCACGCGGTTGCGGGGGATGTTGTACTTCTTCAGGGCTTTTCCGACGACTTCTTCGGATTTACCGTGGGAGTAGACGTCCGCCTAGATGGTAAATATCAGTAACTTATCCGGTGTTTCTTTCTGGTAAGGTTCTTCATTTACCGTGTCCCAGGTGTTGATGCCATGCTTGTAGGCATGCTCAATCAGGGGCAGGGAGTCTTCCTCGTCCAGGACCCAGTCTTGCCATTCCTTGCTGCCATAGCCCATTGTTCCAAGGATGATCTTGGAGATCTTTAGACCGGAGTTTCCGAGGCTGTTATTTATTTGGCATCAGCATCTTATTCGAGTGAAATGTGTGCCTTGAAGTGGGGGAGGGGTCTGTACCGAACATATTCCATTTTATTGTCGGCCATTGTGATATTTGTGAGGGTGTTTATGTGAGTTCTAGTTATAAAAAAGAATATGTCAGTATAATTTATATGTATTGATCGCATTGGATATGACGTCAAATTCCAAGGTAAGTAAGCCTTGGGGCAGAGGGGAAGCTCACTTGTCAACACAAATATGGATGGGATATTGGTGGAACAAGGAAAGAAACAGATGTGAATTCCTTGAATTCCTTGGATTTCTTGAATTTCTCTTGGACTAAGTGACTAAATGACTCAGAAGAGGTCCAAATAGGTGCATTAATAATCCAAGTGAATCTGCCGAAATCCACAAGCCGTGGGGTTAAGCCAAAAGCGCAGGTACAAAATCGGTTAACTATCGGTTATATCCTACCGGCAACTCATTATCGGCAGTTTCCAAAATAATAATTTTACCTCTCTCCTGTCTACATATACAAGTCCGGGGCAATTTATGAGACCAAGGCAGAGCCTACCATCCTCAATCATTGGGGTTAAAGGGATTACTGGGCAGGTCGTCGCACATCCGACCAGGGCGGTGAAGCATATCAGTGTGATCCACGTTTTTCGAGCCGACAATGCCTACCAAATTCAGTTTAAGATCAATTACGTTCGTAGAAGTACGGAGTAGGTAGTTTGTCTTTGCATATCAGGCCAAGATCATTCATTTAATATCTCAGAGCCCCTGAAAACACAACTCTTTCTTCCTCACTCTTCGTACCATCCCCTCCTAGCCTCCTTTTTCTCTTTCTCACATGATCGACTTGAGGAAGAGGTAGCTGGGTTCATCGAACTGACCAACGGCCATCCTAGACCTATCAATGGAGAGTTCCGGGAATGGGCACGAACAAGTCTCAGTCAGTTGAGAACACCAAGGTACTTTTGGTAGATACGTGGTTCCTAGCATGGCGTTCCTAGACTGTATCTGGGAAGTTACGAAAGCCAGATTTACGGGAATTGGGGAAGTACGAATCGAACCGGTTTCCGTTCTGGCTTTTCTCCTTTTCTCCTTTTCCACACAATTAACCTGCCAGGGTATCGGGTCTTACAGTGTTGTTGAAGAAGGACGCGCCGGAAAGAGCTCGACTTCCAAGCGTTGGATTTCCTTGTCTTTCTGTTTTCCGCCATATATTTTCCTGTGTGAGTTTTGATTAGGTATCTTCATTATAAAGGGATTGTGATTGTGAGAATCCACATTCAGCTATGGGCCCCAAAACGCAGATCTATTGCCTGAAGATCCGCCCCACAGAGCTGACAGGGATCCAGAGACATCCGGGTGGATCTCGATCGTCAACTTAAAACCTTCTTTGATGTGCATAGTTCGCAGAGTTGATATTTGGGGAATAATGCTCACGGGAAAGGGGTAAGATCAGGTTGATGAGAATGCGGAAGGGACCGGGGCAACGGGATCAACTCCTGACAATCAAGCACAAGCTTAGTAGGACTCAGGTAAAAGGCTCTAGGGAAATTTAAAAATCAAACTGAGAGCTCTAGTAAACAAAATTAACATTATCTTTCTAATTTTATAAGAAAAATTAAAAGCCAACTATAAGCCTCTGTCCATGGCTAGTCACATGAAGTGTATATAAATTCCCAACACCGTCTTCCGTTCATCTCCTCGAAGCTCTGTCACCGGTGGTGGGCACCGGCTTTGCCAGTCGCAGACACCAACACAGTGCATACTCGATCGGAAGTAGCAAGATAAGAATTCTGTTGAAGCGGTAGGACAGGGTAACCGTGAAGATCGCCACAACGGCATCGAGCCAGTAGTGATTTGCGGTAGCGACAATAACACTGAGGACGAGAATGGGATAGCATATAGCGAGTGTCAAGAAGCCAAACTCAGTCAGACGTGACTTTTGCGTCGGCTTGCGTTGGAGTCTCTGCAGGAATCCGGAGTGGTGGAGGAATGTGCACCCGATCACAAAGGCATAGGTAAAGTGTAGACTGGGCATGGCGGCGAATTGGTTCACTGATTTTCCGCCAACCCAGATGCTTTCGGCGTTGCCTTGGCGCACGGTGTCGTAGAAGCCATATAAGCCGGGAAGGAGTCGGGGTGGCATGAGGGGGTAGACGCAGAATACCAAGAAGGCGGCGAGGTTTCCGAGGGTCATTGTGCGTCGTGCGAGGGCGAAGGAGGCATGGTTTTTGGCGACGTAGTAGTACCAGGAGAGGAATCTGTTTGATTTCGGTAACTGATTAGTTTGGAACCATGTGAAGTGGAGATGTTGGGGAGTTACTCACAGCACTGTGCCGGGAATATGGATTAATGAATAAATACGATTGAACATAGTCAAGATCGAGGGGTGGTTATGGATGAAAAAGGATTGGAAATCGGCTTCGTTGATCGGGAATATCCAAGAAGCGGTTTTATGTTCGAAGTCGAGGATGTCGATGGCATGGCCTCGCGCCACCGCGACAACCCCTATGTCAGCGGGAGAGAGCCACTGCGCCGTGGCTTTGGTCACGGAGTAGAACAGATAGTTCATGCTCCAGTAGAACATTTCGACCAAGAAGGGGAGTTTCTGCAGGATTCTGCTGTGGATGTGGTGCGCCCAGCGCGAAGAGTCTCGATTCTTGATATTGATCCCGCATACATTCTCGGACTTGGTATGCACTTCGTTGGTGAGATGAGCATCGCTGAAATGAGCATTGCCTTCCTCCAAAAGGGTGTAGTCGATCTTGTGGGAGCTGGAGTCTCTGTGACGGTTCACAATCAACGACCCAACCATAATACCCACAACGACCTGTCCAGGAGATTAACACATGTTTAGCGATTGCACGTAGTTTGTAAACTTACAATGGGCTCAAGCCATGCGTGGGACGCTAACTGTGGCTTTCCCAGGTCCGGTGTCTCTTCATTCCGAATAAAGAGCGCGCTGGTCGCCATATTTGCGACTGTAGAGGTCTATCAAAAATACAAAAGGACTCCCAAAAGCGCTGTAGACACAAAAAAAAAAAAAAAAAACAAATCAAGGTATAATTCAGGGGAAAGGGACAGGCTAAGTGCAGTCGCGTGTCCCTCGAAAATAAAATAAAAAGACATGCATAATTTGGATAATACAATACCGATGTAATAATATACGAGTACGATGGATCGGAATACGGAAGACGAAATATGGAATATGGAATACGGAGTATGGATGGAGTATGGAATATAATTCCGAGGTAGGGTGGAGAATATATTGACTGTGAAGAACTAGAACTAGTTAGTCCATTTACATACTCATAACTATGATTGTTTCCAAATCTCTTCAACAAAAGGTTGAGCTTTGCACTTTCAAGAAACCCAGTCCCCAAAAGGAAAAAAAAAAAAGAAAAGAAAAGAAAAGCTGTCAATGGACGGAACTGCAATGTAAGGGAGGTGTCGGCTGAACAGGAAATAATAAGCCTGACTTGGTTTGCTTAGCCAGGAATGGACCTCTTTCGACCTCCTTCGACCTGTCATGTCCTATCCCGTCCTTATCGATGGATCTAACCTTGGAAAATGCTATGCTCAGCTGATTTTTGTCCAGCTTTTAGCCCATACCTAGGTATATTTGAGACACAAACCACACTCACGGAGTACTTCGTAATCGTGACCGTGCCAAGCTATCGGGCCCTTGGCACGGTTATCGAGTCAAACCCATGAATAGCTACAAATGTACTTTGCATTCCACGTCAAACTTCGAGATTTAAAGGAATCCAATATCATTCGATTAATATTTATAGACTACATGCTTACTTTCGGGGGCTGGACATTGACAGTCCCAACCCCGTACTCTTGGCAAGTTGGGCTGTAACCGCGCACTTGAAATAAGACCGAGGAAAGCCAGATTCTAAGGCTGGCAGACATTCTTTATGAACACTTTATACAGGAGCGGCAAATAATAATGAAATCGAACCTTAGGAGATCGACGTTATTTTCGACCTGATTGAAATTTTATGCCAAGGCGATTTCTATTTTTGATTACGAATAGCTCCCGATGTATCAAATTTATGTGCTAGAATATAGAAAAAAAGATTATCAATCAGAGTTCTCAATTATTTCCGAGATATGCCCTCCTTTTCTCCACATAAACAACATACTCGTTACTTCGTAGTTCCGTGAAGAACATCATCTGCCCCGCAACTAGAGTATCGGCCCAATCGCAAGCTGCTACTAGAAACTAGCGCCGACTCTAGCGCTGAACGTATACGTATTCTAGAAATTTAATATTACTATCCACTTACTTGTCTTGCCATGTCAGACAATACAACTTCAGCCGTAAATATGTAGATCGTCCAGGTTGGTTTTTTATCCGCTTAGTAATACATGCATCTTTCTTTCTAACGTATTTCACATGCAAGTGGGCCACCCAACCCAACATACTAATTCAAATACATACCTCAACCAAAACACCATTGAAAAATACACCAAAATGATCCTCTAGCTGGGCATCTACTGGATCTATGCCTAGTTTCTCTGCATCCACTACACTACACCTTGGTGTAGCCCGCGTACGTGGTTCGGAAGCCGGTTCTTTATATATATCGGCACCGGGGGGAGTTGCTTTATCTACCTAGGTAGTTACTCCTACTAACTTAGTAATCAATTGAGAAGCCTCTTGAACACAGAGGCCTTCTTCGGCGGGTACCTGCCTCCGGGGTCTAGTACGCTTCTGCTTCTGCTTCTCGTTAGCGGCACGTAATTCGCTTACGTCTTTCTCGAGAAGAACTGCCAGACTTCGGCAAGCCCCATTTTGGGTCGAAAACTTCGACCAAAAACCCAATGCCAAGGCCTGCCTAATCAGGTATATTTATACTACGGGTTATATGCATTTTGCGTTCCGATGGGTTCCGGTGAGTCCTTGGTATGTCAAGAATGGGTTATAAAATAGGGTTTGCCGAAGTCTAATACAGCAAACAGATCAGAGGAGGGGGCTCCTTAATCTTATACGAAGTAATACCTTAATTGACGAAGCTTGCTTTTGTAGTTCAACGTCATTTAAAGGAGTTTTTTTTTTTAGGTCCTAATTACTACCCCGGGCTAGCTAGTCATTAGGCCTGCGGGAGCATCATGGGTCCGACTTAGGATATCGGTCCTTTATCTGGCTTTTTCATTTTCCCTACCTCTCTATCTTGCACTCATCGCTGTGCCCTTGCAATTTCGCTTGCCTAATCAGACTTGCCCCATCAGCCCCCTGTTACTTTTCCGGCCGCAAATTACGGCTGATCCCTTGTCTTACCCTCCATTTTCACCGCATGAGATCGAAATTATGACACCCTACGAGCTACGAGCTTATCGCTTGTTCTTCTACATATTGCTCACGTTCATTTCAGAAGTGCCTGGATTGCTCTCTGTCCGGTCTCTTTGAATTAACCTTCATTGTGTCCTCGATTTGACTTTACCACCTCGCCATCCAAATACAAAAGAAAACCCCCCGCGTCCTGCATTCCTGAACGATTACGGCTCTCCCAGTGCTGAGCAGGTCCAAACAAGAGGGTATGGTATGGCTGCACCGTTAATGAAGATCGTGCAGACTGGTTGGGATTGAAGTGGATGAGCGAGGTCGGATGAAGGATCGAAGTGGTTGTCACTAGTCTGCCGATTGTCCTGAAGCTGTCAAGCCCGCCACGGTCAAACTAGAGTTATTGTTGATCGGAGTCATTCATGGAGGGGGGTAATCGAAGTGGTTGCAACCAGTCTGCCGATTGTCCTGGAGCTATGAAGCCCGCCACGGTCAGACTGGTGAGTGTTGTTGATAGACGGGGTTTCGAGGGGGACCGAAGTCATTCATGGAGGGGAGTAATCGAAGTGGTTGCAACCAGTCTGCCGATTGTCCTGGAGCTATGAAGCCCGCCACGGTCAGACTGGTTGTGATTGAAGTAGATGGTCGATGTGGAGGATGGAAAATCGAGGTAGATGTTTCAAGCGGTAGATGGAGGATCGAGGGGGGATGGAGGATCGAAGTGGTTGTTACCAGTCAGCCGATTGTCCTGAAGCCGAAGCCCGCCACGGTTAGACTGGTGGATGTCGTTGATCGAGGGGGGTATCGAGGGGAGTGGTCGAAGTGGTGGAAAGGGTTGCAACTAGTCTGCCGATTGTCCTGAAGCCGTCAAGCCCGCCACGGTCAGACTGTTGGGATTGAATTGGGAGGTGGAGGTTAATAGAGGGTCGAGGTAGATGTTTTAAGCGGTAGATGGAGGATCGAGGTGGGATTGGATGATCGAAGTGGTTGCAACTAGTCTGCCGATTGTCCTGAAGCCGAAGCCCGCCACGGTTAGACTGGTGGATGTCGTTGATCGAGGGGGGTATCAGAGGGGAGTGGTCGAAGTGGTGGAAAGGGTTGCAACTAGTCTGCAGATTGTCCTGAAGCTGTCAAGCCCGCCACGGTCAGACTGGTTGTGATTGAATTTGGAGGTGGAGGTGGTGAATGGAAGATCGAGGTGGGATGGAGGATCAAAGTGGTTGCAACCAGTGTGCCGATTGTCCTGAAGCCGTTAAGCCCGCCACGGCTAGACTGGTTGGGATTCGATTGGGTGGTCGATGAGGATGGATGATCGTGGAGGATCGAGGAGGGATGAATGATCGAATTGGTTTCACCTAGTCTGCCGATTGCCCTGAAGCCGTCAAGCCCGCCACGGTCAGACTGGTTGTGATTGAATTTGGAGGTGGAGGTGGTGAATGGAAGATCGAGGTGGGATGGAGGATCAAAGTGGTTGCAACCAGTGTGCCGATTGTCCTGAAGCCGTCAAGCCCCGCACGGTCAGACTGGTTGTGATTGAAGTAGATGGTCGATGTGGAGGATGGAGGATCGAGGTGGGATGGAGGATCGAAGTGGTTGCAACCAGTGTGCCGATTGTCCTGAAGCTGTGAAGCCCGCCACGGTCAGACTGGTTGGGATTGACGTCGACGAACGAGGTAGGGGATTGAGGTGGTTGAGGATCGAAGTGGTTGCAACCAGTCTGCCGATTGTCCTGAAGCCGAGGCCCGCCACGGTCAGACTGGTTGGGATTGAAGTAGATGGTCGATGTGGAAGATGGAGGATCGAGGTGGGATAGAGGATCGAAGTGGTTGCAACCAGTGTGCCGATTGTCCTGAAGCTGTGAAGCCCGCCACGGTCAGACTGGTTGGGATTGAATTGGGTGGAGGATCGAGGGGGATGAAGGATCGAAGTGGCTGCAACCAGTCTGCCGATTGTCCTGAAGCCGAGGCCCGCCACGATCAGACTGTTGGGATTGACGTCGACGAACGAGGTAGAGGATCGAGGATGGATGAATGATCGAAGTGGTTTCAACCAGTGTGCCGATTGTCCTGAAGCTGTGAAGCCCGCCACAGTCAGACTGGTTGGGATTGAATTGGGTGGTCGATGTCGAGGATGATTGTGGAGGATCGAGGATGGATGAATGATCGAAGTGGTTTCAACCAGTCTGCCGATTGTCCTGAAGCCGAAGCCCGCCACGGTCAGACTGTTGGGATTGAATTGGGAGGTGGAGGTTAATAGAGGGTCGAGGTAGATGTTTCAAGCGGTAGATAGAGGATCGAGGGGGATGAAGGATCGAAGTGGCTGCAACCAGTCTGCCGATTGTCCTGAAGCCGAGGCCCGCCACGGTCAGACTGGTTGGGATTGACGTCGACGTCGACGAACGAGGTAGGGGATTGAGGTGGTTGAGGATCGAAGTGGTTGCAACCAGTCTGCCGATTGTCCTGAAGCCGAAGCCCGCCACGGTCAGACTGGTTGGGATTGACGTCGACGTCGACGAACGAGGTAGGGGATTGAGGTGGTTGAGGATCGAAGTGGTTGCAACCAGTCTGCCGATTGTCCTGAAGCCGAAGCCCGCCACGGTCAGACTGGTTGGGATTGAGCTTAATGGTTGAATTTGATAATTGAAGTGGATGGTTGAGCGAGGTGGATGAATGATTGAAGAGGATGGTTGAAGAGGATGGGTGGCTGATTGAGATAGTTGTTTGAAGTAGACGGATGATCGAAGTGAGTGGTTGATTGAAGTGGATAGTTAAGCGAGGTGGATGAATGATTGAAGAGGATGGTTGGAAAGGATGGGTGGCTGATTGAGATAGTTGTTTGAAGTGGACGGATGATCGAAGTGAGTGGTTGATTGAAGTGGATAGTTGAGCGAGGTGGATGAATGATTGAAGAGGATGGTTGGAAAGGATGGGTGGCTGATTGAGATAGTTGTTTGAAGTGGACGGATGATCGAAGTGAGTGGTTGATTGAAGTGGATAGTTGAGCGAGGTGGATGAATGATTGAAGAGGATGGTTGGAAAGGATGGGTGGCTGATTGAGATAGTTGTTTGAAGTGGACGGATGATCGAAGTGAGTGAGTGGTTGATTGAAGTGGATAGTTGAGCGAGGTGGATGAATGATTGAAGTGGATGGTTGAAGAGGATGGGTGGCTGATTGAGATAGTTGTTTGAAGTGGATGGATGATCGAAGTGAGTGGTTGATTGAAGTGGATGGTTGAGTGAGGTGGATGAATGATTGAAGAGGATGGTTGGAGAGGATGGGTGGCTGATTGAGATAGTTGTTTGAAGTGGATGGTTGAGCGAGGTGGATGAATGATTGAAGAGGATGGTTGAAGAGGATAGGTGGCTGATTGAGATAGTTGATTGAGGTGGATGGTTGAGGTAGATAGGGTATGAATATATGAACGTTACTAGAAACTAGTTAGCAAGTTTTGTCTCCTAAGAGGAATAGTGGGACGTCACAGGAAATGTTTATAGTTCAAAGTGGTCACGGTGGATGGCCATGATGTAAGGGCATGCTGGATGACCTAGGTGGATGTGGTCATAATGGACTGTGGTTATGGTGGAAGGCCTATAGCAGAAGGTCTTTTTAGACAAGTCAAGTTGGAAGGTTCATGGTGACCATACTAGAAGTGCATGTCCCAAGGCATAAGAGAGATGGCAAGTCCATATTGGATGGGTCTAAGGTAGAAGGTCCATGGTAGATGGGGGTCATGATGGAAGGTCATGATGGATGACCAAGATGGAAGGTCATGATGGATGACCAAGATGGAAGGTCCATAGTGGATGGGGTCATGGTAGAAGGTAGAAGGTGACCATGGTGGAAGGTGGAAGGTGTAAAGTGAGACCTTGAAAAGTGGAAGGTGGAGAACCAGAGAAAAGAAAGAAGAGATGTGAAGGAGGAAAAAAAAGGAGAAAGAAATGGGGGGGGGGGGGTATTTATACCTTTTCCAATGGCTTCAGGATCTTGGGGAAACTGCGTTGGGTGACGAGATTGATCCTAAAAAGGAAGGAGCCAGGGTACCTAGGTAAACCCCACAGCCTTCCAGAGTCTTCTAGGACTACGTTAGGTGACGGATTGATCCTAAAAGGGAAGGGGCCAGGGTACGTAGGTAAACCCCACAGCCTTCCAGAGTCTTCTAGGACTACGTTAGGTGACGGATTGATCCCAAAAGGGAAGGGGCCAGGGTACCTAGGTAAACCCTACAGCCTTCCAGAGTCTTCTAGGACTACGTTAGGTGACGGATTGATCCCAAAAGGGAAGGGGCCAGGGTACCTAGGTAACCCCAGAGCCTTCCAGAGCCTTCCGCTTCCAAGCTTGGAAGTTTCACCTTCAGGTAGTCCAGCTTTGGAAGGTGCTTACTTGGGTGCATGCACCTATAGAGTCTACATCACACAATCAGAACAACGTTAAACATATGGAATAAAAAATATGTACGCAAATAATCCTTGATCTCTGTTCGCCACTTCTTCAACAGTCACCAGGAGCTCTTAAAACGCCTGTTGTAATGCTTCTCGGCTACATTTCGAAGAGCCTCTTCCACCGAACCAGTCAACTACGCTGAATTACCCTTAGATTCAGAAAGTAGGAGATCAACTAAAGTATCTAGCAAATTACCTTCGTTCCTAGGGCCTCCTTCTTCCAAATTCATTTGGCCTTTATTGCCATAGGTCGGGGCTATAACTAGATTGATATTGCTAATCTACGTACTATCTTTCCGGCTATAGAAAAGATAGATAGTCAATTAGGAGAAATCAGGCTCCGAGAAGACAGTCTATAGGGTTTACGGCTTCTTCAAAACGAGTATACTAAGTTGAATATACTAGAGGCCCTCGTATATATCAAAAGCTCTAGCTACCTAATTATAGGCGATCAGGACAATACGGAATTTGCTCGTAATGTGTTGTTGAAAATAAACACGGAGTTTAGATACATCCCTTCTCTAGCCAGAATCATTGTTAGGGTCTACAGCGGATCTCTAGCCTCTTCGGTGAGAGACTTTCTACAAGGCTTTGGATAGGTTGTCTTGATCGGCGATAAATAGATCGTCTTGGCGCAACTGAAAAGGGAAATGAATGATAGTCTCCGCACTACATGCCGAACAGAGAGTGCCAGTGATATTCTCCAAACGCATGTTTCTCTGGGTCATTTCCGGGAGACTTTTGAAAATCGTTTAGTCTTATGCGGCGAGACCAATATGGTCGAACTGTTAGAAACTCAAGTCTCTCTTACCTAGTCTCCACACAATTCCTTTCCTTCTTCAGATCTCTCCGGCTTCTCAAAAACAAGGATTCTGTTGATTGATTCTTGAATATGACATAGACACCGAAACTGATTCTAATCACACAAAGCTAGTATAACAGGTGAAGTCATCCATTGATGATTGGAGGCCGCTGACTTCCCGTCACAGTCGAGTGGAGATATCTTCGCAGCATGGTGCTCAGTCACCACCCTAGGGAAGGAGTAGGATTATCAATACAAAAGAACAGGATGCTGTATCATCTCGGAGGTTACGCTTTCGGGTGATAGGCATTGCAAGCTAGATATCGGATCATGCTGTATCTCTGGTGAAAAATGAAGGGGGCAGTGCGTCGGGCTGAAAGCAAATGCGTAGTAGTCGGCGGGGGCTAGAGTAGAAGGAAGGGGGCGGCGATGAGTGTAAGAGAGAGGGGTAGAAAGAATAAAAAAGTGAGAGAGGGGAAGGAAGAGCAGCGAAGACGGGTCTTTTATATCGGGAGCATTGAAGGGAGGTTACGTGATAGCGTATTAAACCCAAAAAGGCAAAACTAACCGCATGCAGTAATTCACAGGTCCGCCGTTTACAGTTACAATAATTCAGAAACGTAGCACGCTCTCGGGTGATATTAGTTATTGTACAAGTGTCTACAACATAGATACATTCTGCACTTCACAAATCGCTTAACTCGAAAACATATTGGATTCTCACAACCGTAGGTATGCGTAGTAGCATTCAACTCTTGAACGGCGTCTCACCAGGATACGACCATGCGCCCAGCAAGTGTAGGACTTGACTTGTCACACGATACAACACGTTGCTTGGTGGTGCACGGACTCGAGAAACTCCCTCCACATTCCTTTCTGGCTTCTGGATATCAGTGGGAGGATGGACCCAGGGGAAATGATTGGGCACGAATCCATCAATTGTCACACCATTGCCGAAACTTGCATATTTCTCATCGGGGTTCTCGTAGACTAGATCGAAGTCTTCCCAGCGGACAATTTCGGTTGCCGCATAGTAGTGAAGGACAGTGCCAGGCCATGGAACAACCACCTTCCCATTGTCGTTCTTGTCTGTACCACCAAGAATGAGTCAATCCACAAAGCTAGGAACAAGGGGTAGGGATCTTTACTTACACCATGATTTGCATGGTCCTGACCAGACCATGTGAGGCATTCTCGACTGAACCCATTGGTTAAATGCACGTTGAGCCCGCTGCGTCACAGATACGGATCGGAGTTTGTCTGTTTGGAGTCGTGATAAGATTCGAACCATATAGTCGCTTGCTCTCTCGATGCCCGGGATGGCGGATCCATTCACAGGGCAGATAGGGGGGTTGAAGACTGTCCAAGATACAACGGTTAAGCACGATAACCAACAAAAGACATTCATGTCCTTACCAAAAAAGTTAGGGAACTCAGCGACCATCGCAGCCATATAGCTCTCGCAAGGTCCCTCGCGATCCCAGTCTTCATTCAGCGATCGGCCAGCGCGGCCAGTGACTGGGAATCGTGGCTGGTATGGCTCGAATCCAGTGGCATATACCAGTATGTCACACTCGTACTCCCCTCCGGATTCAGTGATGAGGCTGTCCTCGGTCAGCTTATTGATTGAGTCATGCACGTACACAGCATTTGGCTTTTGCAACGCATCCAGATAATGACCACCGGGCGTAAAGCGACGACAGCCAGCTTCGAATTCTGGTAGGAGTGCGTCCAAAAGATCGGGGTTTGTGATTTTGGACTTCATAAATGAATGTGCCAGTGATGTGAAATTGGCTTGAGATTTGGTCCCTCTCCAGAGTCCCATGAAACTTGCGGCAAGTCTCTGCTCTAATGAGATGCAAAAGTCATAATAGCGCATAGGGCAAATCTGGAGAGCCTGCTTCTGTTCGGTCGAGTCTAGATATGGATAAGCGCTTCTGTCGCTAACCCGTTTTTTGTGGTAAGGCGAGATACTCACATTGGCGCTGGACGATACCATCTTCAGCCAATGCATGTGGGAGAATCCACGTTGGGCCTCGCGCAATGTTTATTACTTGCGAAGCAACTTGAGTGCCCGGCGCGGTCAGCGTGGTGTGTCTTCGGTGTGACTTTGCGACTCACCTGGCTGCAAAGCTGCCACGCACTGGATGGCGCTTGCACCATTCCCAACTACAATCACCCGCTTGTTCTTGACGACCATGTCAGCTGGCCAGTTTGCGGTGTGCACTTGGATTCCTCGGAAGGTTTTCTGGCCCTCGATCTTGGGGAATTTGTAGTTGTTCAGCCGTCCGACGGCATAGACAAAGACATCAGCAAAGACGGTCTTTTCATCGCCGGAAACCACGTCGCGGAGAACAACTTTCCATTTTGAGGAGTCTTCGTTCCATTGCGCCAAGGCGCATTCGGTGTTGAAGGTCATGAAGCGGCGGAGATTGTGCCTGTCGGCTACATCCTCTAGGTATTTGTGAATTTCGGGAGCTGGAGGATAAAGCGATGACCATGACGGATTTGGTGCCCAATTAAACTGGTAGGTGTGGGAAGGTACATCGCATGTGCATCTATAGCCCAACATTAGCGAACTCGTTCATCTGATAACAAATCTCGCAGGAATATAGTACATACCCGGGATACCGATTCTCGTACCATGTACCCCCAAGGGAAGGGTTTCTATCATAGATTTCGAGATCGATACCTGATAATGCTGTGGTCGCATCATGCGCGAATTGGATTCCTGAGATACTAGGACAATATATTAGAAGTGGTTATCACTCGAGTTCAGTATGCACATACCCAGCACCGATAACCACAATCTTCAGCGGACGTGCCACAAAAGCACTTGGGATGAGATCCATTGTAGGTGATGGGAAAGAAGGTTGCAGAAGAAGAAAAAAAAAAAAAAAAGAAGAGCTCCAGGGCTGAGAAGAACTGGGGAGACAGGTCATATATGATAACGTGTCTCGTCTTCTCAGCTTCTGCAGAGCGACACGTGCTCCCCGAATAAAGTAATAACAGAAAGCGTGTAGTTACTACATCTTTCTTTATTTACGCGTATATCAGGATGTTCGATGTTCTCAACTCCACCGTGAGACACGCTCCTCAGGTCACCGAGTCAACTGCAGATTGTGGTAATAGCACTCACTAGCAATATTGGATAAAAACACAATATCCAAGTAGTCCCAACAAAGCGCAGAGCGTAGTAGTAGAACCATATTTCAAGGCAAGTCAATATTTAGTAGGGAGAAGTGTGTATCAACTTGTCCTTTTTATAAATTAAGTACATATTTATGTGTGAAAGTCCTGGAATACTCGCCACATGTTCTATAGAAAAAGCAAAACATGGACTATTAAAAAAAAAGAAAGAAAATATAGTATCGCCAAGAAAGGCAAAAGTACATAACTGAGGCTATTTATATGTTGTTAATGTCGGGAGATGGAAGAGTTTAGGCGGCTCTTTAAAAGAGGTGCTATTAAATCCACTGTATAACGGAAATGATGACAGAGAAAAGGTATTTACTGAAACCCCAGAAAGCTTATAACCTCAAGATAGACAAACCAGACAAAAGAGAGCGTTAAGCAAACAGAAGACCAAAATATTGAAGACTTTTGCAGGATGTCTCCACGCGTGTTGGTCCCTTCCCATTATACCATGGCCGGGGGAGCGTTCAGAATTCACTTCTCGTCGCCTCTCTACTCACGTGTTCAATACCCAACATGCTGATCACGGATTATATGGCTAGTATGTCAACTCCACGCTACATACCAACAATAAGATCTAACAGAACCAGACAGAATTCTCAGCCCCGAATGGGACCCAATCGAGTTCCAACCTCGGAGAGAGTGGCTCGATATCCGGGCCCAGCCAGTTGAGTGTATTCGAGCCGTATGCCTGTCACCCCCCGACTACTTCCATCCAAACATCTGGGCCATTTTTCTGTCCACGTCTGAAGTAGACATGACAGCGGTAAGGCTTGAATGCCAACCAACCGACCGCCGCAGAACCATCATCCTACAAGGTTCTAAAGCCAGAATCTTGTTTCAAAAAACATCGGTCTTATTCCCGCGCGATGTGGCAGCGACCTTTGTCCTTGGTGTGAACCCGGGATTCACGGTGGCGGATATTCACAGCATAATTGTTACGAATGACCGGCACAAATACGAGATTGACGAAGAATGTTTCAATATCCGAACCTGGGTTTATGATCAAATCAATCTCTTCAACCAGCATGGTATCTTCGCCAACTATGGCGAGGTCGAAATTGTGAATGATGCACTCCAGAGAAGATGGCCAGGGGGAGATCCTAACCCGCTCGAGGAAGGGGCTTACTATGGGTGAAATCGGATGAATCAGACCAAAGTGCTTTATTCTTTCATGTGGTCTTCGTGATGTGGTCTGTGATCAAATTTGCTGCAGCGGGAACAATGCCTTTGTATTGCTTTCTTTTTCATCTAGCTGCACAAACAAAGATAATTGTTCCTACAACATACATGTTTAAGTACCCCAACTGACCCTGCACTAGGATGTAAGACCTACAGCTTGGAATGAAGCGCACTTTATAACTTGTAGGGATAGACCACACACTTCAAAAGCACATACCCTTGATTTACTTTTGGCCTGAACATTTTATTAGGCAGACATATAAAAAGGACGGTGCAGCCATGAGTTCAGGGTCAATCAAGCGAGCACTTGGCCCAATTTGGCTGGTTGAAAATTATTTTCTCTTCCCTGTTTACCCCATTCTTTTAACTTATTTTGACTTTCTCCATCTTCATTTTTGGTATTCCCTTCATGTTGATATACTCCGTGGTCACGTGTGCTCTATTTTAAAATCATTACATCATCATCACCTGGGCCCCTTGCCTAAGGCCGAAACGGCAAAATTAAACCGAATACGATGCTCTCCGGGCCTAAGTAATACATAATCATGGAAAACATACAGACAATCCGATCACGAAAGTCCCATCGTAAATCTCGTTCTGGGTGTGAGAATTGTAAAAGACGGCGAATAAAAGTGAGTACTTTCCAAGTCTCTTGAGTCTGGTTGTGGTCTTTAACAAGTCCTTCCCGAGATGGATATAAGTGAGAGCACCATTCATTCCAGGACCCTGGATAACTCTCGAGTCATCAGTTTGTTTTATATGACGACTAGGATGGGTTGAGAGTGAAAGTTTGGGATAATAACCGACTAATAGTCTACAGTGTGACGAAAGGAAGCCAGCATGCTCCAAATGCATCCATCATGCTATCGATTGCGACTTTCTCTCGACGGAAGCTACACCATCAGCCTCGCCCTCTTCAGCACCATCACCATCCAAACCTTCGAAGGCCAAATTTCGATTCAAGCCTTCTAAATACCAATCTGAAAAATACAAGCCCAGGGACGAAACAGGCGAGGCATCTTCGCAGACAGTCTCCACGGAAGTCCAGTCCAAGGATTCCAGCACCAGCGCCTTATCACAGAGTCAAGATACCATCTCATTCGCCGACCTACGACTCTTCCACCACTTTGTCACAGAGACCTATCGCACCATAGTGGACGAAGCAACCGACCGCAATCAAGTTTGGCGAACTCACCTTCCACACTGGGGGTTCTCCACGCCGTCCATCTTCCATCTTATGTTGGCGCTGGCAGCTTTGCATCTGGGCTATCTCCACCCCGAGGAAAGAGCTCGGTATGTGTTGCAGGCAGATGACCACTTCACATTCGGCATTCGATCCGTGTCAGCTATTCTATCGAGCCTTAACTCGGGGAACTGCCAATCGATCTACATGTCGACAGTGCTGGTATGCTTTGTTTATTTCGCACACGGTCCAAAACCCGGTGAATACCTGGTGTTCAGTGAGACGGGAAAGGCTGAATGGTTGGTTCTTATGAGAGGAGTGAGGTCGATCTTGTTCTCTCACCGTGACAAAATCTTTACCGGGGTCTTAGAGATTCAAACCGACCCTGCTATTCAGGGCGTCAGCCCCTTGTTACAAGATGAGCTCGGAGAACATCAGTCCCGTATCAAAGCATTTCAACGTTTTATGGAAATGCAAGCTGGCGGGAGTTCCACATCTCAAATTCATATCGATGCACTTGAACGGTTGTTCCAAATGTTTGAGGAAGCATACCGGTGTCTCAGTGCTGGGAAGGATGGTACTAACTTGATGGCTCCTCTCTTCGGGTGGATATACAGACTGTCCGAGGAGTTCATTTGTCTTCTTGAGGATAAGGAGCCATTTGCGCTGGTTATTCTTGCTTACTGGTGTATTATTTTGAAGTTCATGGGATCCTCGTGGCTTATGATCGCCTGGGATCGACATGTCATCGCGGGAATTCGGCAGTCTCTAGGCACTGAATTTCACCAATGGATTGAGTGGCCTGTGCGTGTCATTTGCGATTGACCTAAATCAATGGAGAAATTCATTCAACGTCACCTCTGTGCCATGTAAATAAAAACAAGACGCATGGCTTCGAATCCGAAAGCAAATCATCACGGCCACATTTCACGCCTAGATACGGAGTACCCGGTTCAACCCCACCCCCTGCGGGTGTTGGGTTACTTGGCAAGAACCGAGTAGACTTCAATCTCTAATACCAAAAAAGGCAACTCATGCCCTTAACCTAATGCACTAACCCCGTTTTGGTCTAGTACATCTTCAGGATAATCCATCTCCTCGGGTCAACAGCGCGCCTATTCCTTCGGCATTTTCACATGTGTCCGGCCCACAAGTTCGCTTATTGGTAGCAAATGAGGATAATGAGGATAACCCCTGGACCTATGATCGACAAATTCCAATTGTTCCATGCACCATACCATCGCCCCTTGGCGTCAGCTAGCGACAAAAGAGAGGTAAATGAAAGGAGAGCTGTTCGATTAGACTTCGAGGTGGTAAACTTTCCTTTCCACACTCTTTCCGTACCGTTCCGTTGGTGAATGTAACCTAGTTCTCTCCGTGAAGTCACAAGGATGAAGTATAATCTTTCCCGGTGTGGTCCCTACCCGAGATATCAAGCCAAATTCAGTGGGCCCGGGGCTTATTACGTAATAGTTTATAATGTTGAGGTGGGTAATATGACAGTGACAGATACTCTGCCAACACCAATTTAGATATATATTTGCTATGTTCTATGTTGTACTCCGTATTTTGAACTGCTTTCTCCTTTTCTACTTTTCTATATTGTACTCTTCATCGGATTTCCGTAAGCGCCGCGGCGGAGTTGAGTGGAGATTTCCGACGATCTCAATCACGGCAGTTGTTTCATGTTCCGCGAGGTCCACAGAGGGATAATAATACCGAGTCGCACAAAGTATTATGTATGGAGTATAGAGCTGTCATGCATAACTACTCCAAATGGTTGTTTTTCGGAAATTCCCGATGTAAACCGTTGAACCATGGTTCACTTGCAGTCGGCCTTGGTCTGGACTTTTAACGTTTCCAGGGTGAGATTTGACATTTCCGAGGTTGTTCTTATGCTTAATCCAAATTCAATATGCATCTACCTAAATACCTACCTAGGTAGGTACCTATGTATCTTCTATCTAATATCTAATGCTATACACTCTATGTTGTATATACAATCACCTAATTCTTATCCACAGTAGGGTAATCAGTATAATGGAAGGTGTTGTCCTCAAACGGTCCATAAAACCGGGTTCGGTCATAAGGAGCCATGGGGATCTTTTCCTTTAGTCTGTGCACTAAATCCGGGTTGCTGGTAAAGTACCGGCCATACAACAGAGCGTCGTACTTGCCAGATTCCACTACACCCCAAGAGTTTTGGTCATCCCATCCACCGGCGGAGAAGAACGGAGTGGAGCCAAAGATCTGGCGGAAACGATCAAGAGTCACATCCAACAGGCCCCAGCTTTCGAGGAACTTATCCTTCTCGTCAGCGCCAAAAATTTGTTCATAACGCTGGGACAGGTTAGCAGTGTAATGTTAGATAGAGACAACAAATGCAAAAACATACCGGCTCAATAAAGCTGACATACGACAGCGACGGAAGAGTCTTCTTCAGACCCTCACACAAATGAGTCCAAGTCTCAATACGCTGTTCCCCACGTGCTTGATTGAACATACCAAACGGCGACAATCTAATAGCCAGATTCTGCTCACCGATGGTCTTGGCCACCTGCTCCATCAACTCAAACACAAACTGGCAGCGCTTCTCCGGAGTACCGCCGTAAGCATCATCACGCTTGTTGATGTTTGAGCTCAAAAATTGCTCTGGCAGGTAACCATTTCCGCCATGGATCTCCACGCCATCGAACCCAATATCCATGGCAATCTTGGCGGCAATGCAATAATCGTCGATAGTCTGCTTGATGTGTTCCACTGTCATTTCGATGGGCGGATGATTGGCGTAGGGCACGGACTGGGTGGAGCCGACGGGCGGATGAGAATAACATTCCGTCGGTGAATCCCACACAGAAGCCGAGGGGCAAACTGCCGGCGATCCGGTCATCTGAGGGATCGTAGCACGCCCGGCGTGCCACAACTGACAGAAGATAATCCCTCCCTTTGCATGAACGGCGTTCACAACTCGTTTCCAACCCGCGGCTTGTTCGGATTTGAAAAGACCAGGTACTCCGGGCATACCATTGCTCTGTGAAAACGAAGATTAAAAAAAAAGAATTGAAAAAAAAAAAAAAAAAAGGAATTGAAAAATTAAAGTTCGAAAAATTATCATTAGCCGTGCAATTCCAAGGAAATTACTCGAACTCCGTACAATATTCGTTCTCATAAATAGGACCAAATTGGGTTTTGATGCTTACCTCGAGTGAGGGTGGAATCCCTTCAGAGATTATCAAGCCACCTTTGGTCGCACGCTGGGAATAATACTCCACAACTGCATCTCCGGGTATCCAAATACGATTGGGATGATCCGGGGTGCTGGAAGGATTCAGTGGTTCTCCCCGGTTGCGGGTCAAAGGCGCATGGACGACACGATGCTCGAGGGTAATGTTGCCATTTGAGATAGTCAGAGATTTGAAGAGACCGGAGTCTTTGCCGTTCAAGTAGTGGACGGTCATGTTTTTTTTTCTTCTTTTTTTTTGGTTGGTTCTATGCCGTTTTACTATGTAATGAGTTATACGGAGGGAATTATCAAGAGAAAAGAGGAAAAGAGGAATAAAAAACACAGGCAACTCCTTTTTCACCCAATGTCGATCACTAATTACAACATAAAGGCATTGTTGCTGTCAAAACAGTCATTGTGCTTCGGCTAATCACTATAGGGTTTAACTAAGGCTCCATTTATCTGTTTCTCTGTTTCATAAAACAGCGGTGTTTGTGCCGAACCGGTATAAATTTTTAGATCAGACTAATACGAAGCACTAGAATCGATACTATTTGCCCGGCTGGTTGGCACCTACGACACTTATGCATATGGGTGGAGTATAAAGTAAGTCTAGTGTCGTCTAGTGTTATTGTTCATGGATCATAGAAATTCCCCAGAACCATTCAGAAATGACAAAAGGTCCGGTGGTGGAGTCTAACGCTCCCCCTTGGGCAATCATCGCCGTCATGGATCCCGCACGCCACCGTTACATAGTCGACAGAGTAGTGGTTCGATGGTTTTCAAATCCCCGCTAGGGATCGTCTGTTCTGCCTCTCCTCATTTTCACGATGTCAAGTTCTTTATCTTGTCAAGTCCCCGCTACTTTGCATTGTAGGGGAGGAACTTCAATTTCAAGTCCATCATGGCTATCGAAACCCCAACAGATGTCTTGCATACTGTCAATACTGTCACACAAGCTCTATGTATTCCACTCGTGACTATCTTCGTAGCATTGCGGTTTTATACCCGGTATCAATTCAAGCAATCCTTGGGGGTTGAAGATCGTGAGTTTCGTCCCTTGCAGATATACATTCTTTTCGGGGATTTTGTGCTAATCATTCTCTAGTTGCCTGTACAATTGCTTGGGTATGTTGAGCAAAACAATCTGGTACTTTATTAGCCAGAACTGACTTTTTATCCAGTTTCTATTTATGGGATATTGTGCAATATCCATCGTCCGTACGTGCTATACTTCCTACATGATCACACACCACATACTTACACATATACTCTATCAGTCGGTCAACATGGTGGAGGATACCCATTTGCTGAACTTGACGCTAAGGAGCAAATCGCATTCAAAAAGTTCTGCTACATTGCGACAATTCTCTACTGTCCGATGGCACTCTTCGTCAAAATCGCCCTCCTAGCCATTCTCACCCGTATCTTCGCTCCCTACCGCGGCAAAGTCTGGTTCATATATATCTTCCTCGGCTGTTTATGCTGCTACTACATCGCCGCCCTGATCGTCAAGATTCGTATCTGCGGCCCCATCCCCAGATACTGGCTCGGTGAACAGGTGCCGGGAACCTGCCTGGACCAGACTGCCGCCCTCATCGCCGACTCCGTGATTAGTGTCGTCAGTGACCTTATCATCCTTATTCTCCCATTGCCATTGACATGGTCTTTGCAAATGTCGCGCAATCGAAAGCTTCGCGTGATAGGTCTGCTTGGCGCTGGTGGACTGGCCACTGGATTCAGTCTTTACCGATTGATCATGGTGTTGGATGGTCAAAGTGATGAGGGTCTTATGTTCATGCGTGTTATCCTGTCCGGGTATGTCATGAACCCCTTGTCTTTTTTGATCTTTTTCTTTTTTCTAACGTCTAATAGAAATGCCGAGGGAGGCGTCGGATTGATCTGCGCTTGTCTGCCTGTCCTCAACGTCATGATTGCCCATTACAGGAGGAACTATTCATCGCAGAAATACTACCAAAACGGCGGCTCGTCCCATCCGTTGAGTGATAGGAAAACGGCCCCGGCTTCTAATGCTGCTACTGACTGGGACAAGGTGACGAGCTTTGGTGACCAGAGCCATCTGATTTCATTTGCCGGGCCTCCAGAGGGCGTCGACCCTGCCGACTCTATCCACAACCATGATGGGATTAGGAAGACGGTGGCTGTATCACAGAGCGTGGAAACACATTAACGGCAGATTCTGTTGTCAAATGTCTCATTATTATATACCCACTCATTAATACTCTAATGGATTTTCTTTCTGTCCTTTTCCCTCCCCTTCTTTTGCCTCCATATACTGATTCAAGTGTACGGTACGTGCATTAACTATCACTTACAAAGGTGGTGTATGTCTCAAGTAGTCTGATTATCTTTGTCCTCTCAACTAAATCTCAGACAACCAAGACTTGGCTTTGCTGGCCTGGATCTATATCCTTCGTATTCCCAGACGATCAGAAATAAAAATAAAGCCCCCCATTCTCTTTCTTGTTCGAGAATGTCTTCACCCGTCAACCATCTTAATATAAATACCCCAACTCAAATCCATCAGTTAAGTCAAGCCAGTCCACACCAAAACCATGCCTCCAGCTCCAGTACTCCCATCCTTGCAAGACAAGCTCCTGCACGAATGCCGCATCTTCAAAGCCAACATGGATACCCAATCCAATATCCTGCTGTGTGATCCAGATGGTCGAGGTACGGAGCGCATCGGGGATGTCATTCTCGCGGTGGCAGAATTGGATATTCAAGCGGATCGGATCATTAGCATTGCACTCGGTATGCTTGCTGAGGCTTCCGATAGCGAGATCATTCGTCGGAATACTTCCTTTTGGCTCCGTGCACATAATGGTTATCACAAGTTCGAGAATGTGTTTTATGGCATGAAGCGCGAGATGAGTCAGTTACTATGGATTCTTAACGACGACCAGAATGAGTTCGTATGTGATTACTTTGCTGGAAGTCTGGAGAGACTTGCAAGGAAGGTTTCATTTCACCTGAATGTTTAGATTATTATCTATGAAATCTTTTGTTGCAGAGTGCTTTTTGTCTTTAGTGTTGTAAGTCTGGCCCCATAGAGTCAACTTCAGCCTCAGATATTGTTTCTCTCCGCCACCATGTTATTTATTCTCTGCCCCTTTCTCGGCCGTGAAATTTGTGGATAAAATTAGCAAGGCGAAAAAAAAAAAGAAGAAAAAAGAAGAAAAAAAAAAGAAATCTCTCCCTCGGGGAATCGAACCCCGGTCTCCCGCGCTTATCGGTGTTAATGACAAGCGGAAATCATCACCACTAGACCAAGGAAGATGTGATGGTCGAGTTACTGCTCGACCACTTGGCTGGTTGATGAAAGCACTTGGCTATCTTGACCTTATGAGCGATCTCTAAGTATATCTCCACAATCCGCCTATGTCAAACACCAACTTGTATAGCTATCGTATCTATTTTTAAAATCAATTTAAATTCGTTCAAATATTTATTGGATAGGATATAGCTTGGTGAAATTTTCAATGTCCAAAAAAACGGACAAAGTCATGGCGATATATATCTACAGTGAGGGTAAATCTCATCTGACAATTTTATCGAAATAATGATTATTTCTGGGGAGCCCGCAAAGCAATACCCTGGCCATATATCTACCCCAATAGACAAAAGAGTATCATCATCTAAGAGGCGGATTTGGATCAAACAACCCCGAGTTGTACCACAACCCATCCAATCCCGTATCAAACCCAAGGGACCATGACCCATCAATAAACGGCCATTGAAACATATCAGTTTCAAAGTCATGATGACCACCAAGTGCAGAATTCTCTCTAGTAGGAAAGCCGTTCTCACCACCAAGACCAGGCGACGACGAAGTCCCTCCACGGACATGAGAGCTGTGTGTATCACGGGATTCAGAGGTGCGTGCTCTAGTCGCATACGCGTCTCTGCTCGGACGAGATCGGATGTCACCATATTCATCCAGGGTACCCGCGAGGGCGAATCTCCTGGGACTGTGCATCCCATCATCGGAGTGGGCCTGGTTACTCTTGACCATTTCGTAGAATCGATTTGCTTCTTGGACCGTTCGCCACTGGTTATTGTTAGTTGGGATGTTTGGTTAGATATGCTGTGGAAATACTCACCCAGCTGCGACCGACGGGCCAGAGTTTACTGAGTCGCTCGAGGTAGTCGAGGTTTCGGCACTTTTCTTCTTCGGCCCGTTTGAGGCCGCCTGGATATCGCTGTGGCGCGATTGTTCCGTACATGTTGATATGAGCAGCGACGAAGACGCTGAAGCCCGAATACGGTGACACGACGGGTGCACCGGAGGCATCTAGTGCATTGAGGATACCTCCGATCTGCTGGGCGACTTCAAATAGCTGTTTGATTGTGTCGGGTTCGCCTTGGGCGTCATCATTTGTGTCGTGGAAAACGTCGGAATGGGGCTTGAGGTTGGATAAGAAGCGGTCCCGATGGAGGAAAAGGATGCTAAAGGTGATATCGTTAGTATCGGTGTTTGGAATGCGTTAAATATAAATACATACCTCATGCAATACACTAGATTGATGTAGGCAAACAACTCTCCGTACCCGAGTGCTACGTGAGACTGAACGCTGGTAGCTGGGAACCGAACTGTTATATCCTGAAGAGACCTCCACTCATCCAGTTCCTCCTTGAGGACCTGCCAAGTCAAGAGGAGCGGGGAGGCGGGGTCGTTCGAAGACAAAGAAGCGAGTGCTCGTCGATGTTCGTTCGCAAACCTTAGGATTCGTACGAATATATCAAATCCCCGAGTGACAATTGTGAGACCATGCTCAATCGTAAGATCGTTCGCTAGCAAACAGTCTTTATTCATATCAGCAGGCATCAACCTGCTAGCTGGTGTATGATTAAACGTGAAGTCCCGATCACTGATAGGGAGAGGAACTGAGATCTGGGAGAATGATAGCGCAAAGTGCTGACGGGCTCCGGAGCTCAGCTCGCAGTCTTGCGCAAAGCAGCACCAGTAAGTCCGGACCAGCTGTTCGTATTGTGTTTGGGATGCATGAAACTCTTGAGGATTGTGTTCCATGCTGTCATCTGCCATCTTCAGAAGGGATTGAATCATGTAAGTCGCCATGCCTGATGTTTTGTCAGATAGTGCTCTATAATCAGTCGGGGATTCGATAACATACCGCTATACATCCAAGCTTGATATGGTCGCCCAGCGCCCCACTCATAAAATGAGAGCATCACAAGAGACTGGGCAAGATAAAGCGAGGGGGGCCTCAAGCACGCGCTGCGCAAGGTTTTTGCGTGCATAATCGGCATAGATTTCTTCTTCTTCGAGTTCATCGCTTTTCATAAATCGTACGCATAAGGAAAGGACCGAGGCCACAAAGACGGGGTCTACCGAGTGGACGTTGGAGGATATGTCGGAGATCAAAGAGGGGTAATGAAGAAAATTGGTAATTGGGAACTTCTTTCTGTAGGTTTCCACTGCGCTGATGACGATTGCCGGTGACAGCGCTGCTATGGGGTTCTTAGATAGGTCTTGAGCCACGGGGGCATTCTCAGGGGTGCTTCTTTCCGCATCTCCAACCACTGGCGATAAGGCGGATGATGCCTTTCGCTTTCCTGGGGTCTTGGATGAGATAGTACTCCTCCGTGTCCTCTGTCTTGAGGCACGGGGATCTGTCAAACTACATCCTTGGTTCTTGGTTTTCAAGCAACGTTGACAGGGCGGTTGCCCTTCATGGACGCATTTGACTTTTGCTTGTCTGCATAAAACATCAGATACGATAATGCAACTAAGAGTGCCGATAGAAACTTACCGACAAGCGTCACACGATATTGACAGCCTCATCGAGTGTACATACGGCGAAGAGTGGAGTGGGCCGTGGTAAGAATAAGAAGTGGCTGTCAAGTATCGTGGGGCATATTAAGACAAATTCAAGCCATCGGATCAATATAGGAGCGCAATTGGATTAATCCAACCATTTATGTCGATTAATTGAACAGTTGCACACACGTTTGAAGGAGCAAGAGTTACGCGGATATCTTAGTATCCGAATATAGTTAGCGCGATCAGCTGACTTGGATCTATGAAGAATTTCGATATGAATTTTTGAAGAACTTTGAAATCTATTTATAATTATATTAATACTAAGTGTCTCTCTATAGTGCCAATGAACCGTATAAAAAAAGGCCACTGAGGGAAACAGTCAATGGACGGCGAGTCACTTCAAATGTTGGTTGCCACTGTCCACTGTTGCACCCACGCATTGAACTTGTCAACTTCCCGCTCCTCGGTGGCCCAGGACGTCACAAGCCGAACCACTGAGTTTCCATCATCAAGCTGCTCCCAAACATAGAATCGGAACTTTTCATGCAGTATGCGAACCAATTGCTGAGGAATGGCGACAAACACCTGGTTTGTCTCGGTCTCGGCAGCCAACTTATAACCCAATTTCTCGAAGCTGGTTGAGATCTTCTGAGCCATCTCATTGGCATGTGTGGCTAGTGTGAAGAACAACTCTGATCGGAAGAGCTCCATGAACTGAACTCCCAGAATACGGCCCTTGGCCAGCAAAGCGCCATGTTGTTTGAGGTGGAAATCGAAACCATCGGCTAGCTCTTTCTTGAGGACTATTGCTTCTCCCATCAGGGCACCGGCTTTGGTACCACCGATCCAGAAGATATCGGTCATGTCGAATATTTCTCGTAGAGTGAGATCGTTCTTCTTTGAGCAAATTGCTGCTCCCATTCGTGCGCCGTCAATGAAAAGCAGGAGATTTGATTGCTTGCAAATGGCGGAGAGGCTGCTCAGCTCACGTTTCGTGTAGACAGTGCCAGTCTCCGTGGCATTAGAGATATAAAGTAGTCGGGGCTTGGCGTAATGAGGGTAGAATTGGTTTTGCTGGAGCGCCTTTTGGAGATTGGTGGGCGTCATCTTGCCGTCGACTGCAGACACGAGGATAAGCTTATGGCCAGTTGCCTCGATCGCACCTGCCTCTTTACAGGCGATGTGACCCGACTCTAAAGTAATAACAGCCTCATAAGGCCTCAGGCAGCTAGCAATTCCAATGAGGTTTGCAGAGGTTCCGCTGGGGACAAAGAAGATACCCGCCTCGTCCTCGGTGCAACCGATCTTGTTTCGGATCAATTGCCGGGCACTGATGCTGTATTCATCATTTCCATAAGAAACTTGTTGTGTGGAGTTTGTTCGCAAAAGAGCTTCAAGGATTTGTGGGTGAGCTCCCTCGCTGTAATCATCCATAAGGCTGTATGGAGGGCGTGCCTCATCTTGGCATAAGCTTGTTGAGGGCATAGTGGGTAACAATTTTTCAATGTTTATGGATTTGATTGAACACAACAAACGGATGAGTTCCAAGGTTGAGGCGAGGTTGAGCTTTAAAGAAGTGAGAGAAAACCAAGTACTACATTATAATGGAAAAGAATCTTGAAAGAAACATCGGGAATAATTTTCTCGGGAATGTTGCCACTTTATTCCCGAGATTCGTCAGTGCCGGGAATCCCATGCGGGCCATTTCCACTTGAGCAAGTTATTCTCAGGTAAATTTGTGGGCCGGGATGGGGTAGCACCGCTTGACTGCGGCCTCTCCAATTGATATAAACAGGTCTTAATTGAGAAAAAAAAAAGATATGTTGTGAGACATTCTTCAAGTTGAGGCAATAGATATGATCTATATGATCTATATGATCTAAATTAGTGTCTCTGATCGACACCCGGTTCCAAGACTCCGGACACTCTAGAATCGACGATCAAATGGTTGGGATACCCCTACCCCTCACGAGGGGTATTGTGAGGGGTATTCCCTACTCTTCGGGTTTTGTATCAACATTGAGAATAGTTTCGGTGACCGATATGAGAGTTGCTTGCAGTGATAGAAAGTATTTGCATCTCCGAGAACACTGTTATCGCGGTTATGTGTAGTCTTTTTAGGCTCAACCCATGTAGGGTCGCATGGTCGATGCTTTGAAGGCCCAGATCTCATCGTAAACAGTGGGGTCCACTCCCCGATCTTCTAGAATGTTCAAGAATATCATACTGTCATGCCAAAGTAAAAGGGCCAACGAAAGATATATGAAAAAGTATAAGCAACGAGATATCAGGACTAAATCTATAGCCAAGGGAAGAAGGTTTGAATAATAGGCGATACTAGCGTGTGATAGTAGTCCACCTGACCATATAAGACTTGGCGAATCGGAACAGCACTCATGTTCGGAGGTCGCCGGCGGTTGGGTATGATCGAGGTATTACCTTGTGATTTGGCTGTCATTGCGAAGCCGATCTAAGATCATGACGACCTTATAAGCTCATAAGCCTATAAGCTCACTATAAAACGCCACTTGTAAGTGGAGTAGATGGGCCTACCTAATGGGCTGCAGCTTCCAAGGCTGTTGCGATCCCTTTCAACTCCTTTGCGACCCGTCATAACCCAAAACAAAGTCTTTTCACATATCAAAATAGAATCACAGTTGAGGTCTAGTCTGAATAAAACCGCGGTATATCGCGAAAGCCAACAACGCCCTGATTTGGCCGGGTATGTAGTCGATGAAACTAGGGACCTGCACTATATACACATTGGACCAAAGACCCAAAAAAACAATATACAAAAACTCCCACAAATAATGCGAATAGCGCTTGATGCTTTTGACCAGAGTCAAAAACAACTTAATCCTCATGCGGCGATGCAAGATGCGCCCGCTCGCCTGGTAGCCCGTCTTCCGTAGCAAGACGCTGGTAGACCCGGACGCGCCAGCCACGGATGACCATGTAGCAGGCCATAACGCCAACGAACACACAAAGAAGCAAAACAAAGGAGAAGATACCGCCAATGCTGCGGATAGCATCGTAGGTATGGTTGAGGATTTGGGTAGTCTTCTGTGTTTGGGTATCGACTGCATCCGATGAGGTGCGGTTAGACTCGTTGGCCGCATTGTCTTCTGCCGCGCTATCGCTTGCTTGGTACATGATTGACGGGTCAACCGGAATGGGTGTGGTTGACTTCCCTCTATATCCGACAAACTTCCAGTCGGGGGTTTTGCTTCGGTGCATTTCGGATCTGCCTAGGACAATGCCATTGACATCCACTGCTTCGGCAGAGACCCAGTCCAGATATCCACGGGCGATGTACATGGTTTCGAAATCGGATCGGGAAGTATTGCCGATAAAGACGGGGCCGTGGAATTCGGAGGCTTGTGCATAGAAACGCCACTCTGCGACATCCGTCGCGCCGTTCCAGCTGACCCAGAACGTGGTCACCATATTGGTTTCGTCGGTGCCGTAGACAGACGCTACCATGTCTGGTGGGGCCGTGGGGCGACCAGTAAATTCGAATTTGTACCCGCGGTAGGATGAATAGCGTGAGGAGGTGAAGTTGGCGGTCATCAATAGTTCTCCATCGGCGGCATGTTCGGAAATATATCCCTCTTTGCTCCAGCAGGTGAACACATTGTCATTCGGAAGCACCTGGGTATTGCCGCGGAGTCTCGAGAGTTGGCGATCAGGGCGGTTGTAGCGCCGGATGGCTTTGGCGGTCATGGGCTTCACGCTGGTATCCAACTCGACGAACAGGGATGATGATATATTTTCCTCGTTAAATTCCTCGTCCGAGGCGTTGTTCAAAAATGAGATAATATGGTGCGTCCCATTTGACTCGATGAATTTCGCGTCGTGCTGCTTTGAAAAGGTGAAATCTTGCTCGAAATCAGTATAATGCCCACCCAATCGCCACATGATGTTTCCATCCATGCAGGAGATGAGGTAGATAGTGTTCGTAAATCGACACGAGATCAAGAAATCCCCGATTTCGTTCTTGTCAACTGAGTTGATATGCACATAATCCCAGCCAGGGTGTGCCTCTACTGGAGAATATGGGGTGTAGTGGACAGTCTCGGGTAAAGGAATGTGATTGAAAGAGTCCCACCACTGGATAACCTCGGCGGTGTTCAGATCGATCTCGGCATACCCGCCGGACTGGAGCCAAGTAGTCTCTTTCGGGCGACCAAATTGCTCTAGGGTAATCTCATGAGAAAGGTAGACTGTGGCCAGCGCAGTCTTACCGTCGTCCAGAATGTTGAACTCGTGGATGTCAAAGGAGCCGAGATCCTTCCGCAAAGGAAGCTTTCGTTGGATTTGATAATCATTGGTCAAGACCAGCCCATATCCGGAGTCGATTTTCGAATCCCACGAGTTTTGCAAGACCATCGAAAGGTGTGGGTCAGGGCCCAGACTGTTGACGACTTTGAAATCGAAGACGTTCCGGTTGTCGAACTGCTGTGAGCCAGTCCAGATGAGGCGCTATTATACCGAAATATGGTCAGCGGTCGGGGTCTGTATCGCGGGGTATTGGTGTAAACGCACTCCTTCACCATCGTAGATATGGGGGCCGATCTGATACTGCTCGTACAAGGTGGACGGTGGATCGGGGCCAATGTGTAGGTAGGGAGCGACGAACCAGTAGCCGGGGCTAACGCGATCGCGGTTCTCGTACTGGACGTTGAATTTCACTGCCCGAATATCCGGGAGCTGGAGAACACGCTGTTAGCGGGATTAAACAATTTGTAAGATATGGGACACGGACCGTAACGAATGACATGAGATCATCGCTGGAATATTGCGCCAGTGTCGTCTGGCACAGCCATAACAGCAATGAAACGCTCAAAAACAGCATTGTTCAAAAGAGCGTGGTATAGGGAAGTCATTGAAGAAGGAAAAAGAAAGGGGACCATCGCCGGGGGTCTAGACAAGGTAAGATATGTGCGGATCGAAGGGGACGCCAAGTCCTGTGGGCTAATGGTAGGGGCGGAAGGGCCAAGCAAAGATGGTTGTAATTGGAT